AGGTACACACGAGCCAGTCCAAATCGCTGTACGATGACAAGAACGGCGGTTACCATCATCAGTACATTTTCCACAATGGCGGCGAGCGCGCCAGCAATCAGGCCACGTCCTATCAATTGTTCAGTAATCAGGGTGCCGTAAGCTCGACGACCGTACCGCCGGCGCCACCCCCGCCACCCCCGCCGCAGATCCATCAGATCAGGTACAGCTCGACGGTGGGTCCGCCACCGCAGATCATTCACAGCGAACCATCTACCGTGACGCCGTTGTTCGCGACGTCCTCCACGATACAGACGCTGCTCAACGCGAACAGCCCGGCGGGTTTGATCAACCCTATCTTTCACAATCACGGAATCGCGAGCACTACTGAACATTTCTCCGTCCATAGCAATAATCCACGCGAGACTACTGACTATCGTGACGATGATCAGGAACAAGATATAAGGGCATTGGAGGCAATACAATCGGTGAACAAGGGCAAGGTATGCAACTAAAATTTTATGTTTAAGCGCGTAAAATTGTATAATAGTACTCTTTGCAACGATTGTAATAAAGTAGTACAGCGAAAAACACGTAACTATTGGAAGAACTTTGTTAAAAATGTTGAAATATAATACATTACAATCTCTTAACATTTTAAAATCCTTTTGGTTCGTTATATTATTGAAAATCTCATTGACTTTGACCTTTGAACCATTTTATGGTCAACTGATTTGACACAAATTTTGCCTCGATAAAGTATCCTTTAGTATCTATTACCGAAAATAAAATTTGAAAAAGTTAAGTCATTTTTGAGAAATTTTGCAAACGGACAATTGGACGAACGGACTCAATGGACATAGAGTGACAAATGAACCAACACGAACTATATTTGCAACTCTGTACTATTTACTTAAAACAATATAGAATTCGCGCGCTAAAATCATTTCAGTCTCCGGTTTAGCGGAGCTGACTTGGTGAAAAATGTTATTCAAACCTTACTTACGTTTTTTTTATTTCTAATATTAGATTTCTAAGCTGACAATATCTCCGGTGCCAAGCCAGCAAGAATCGTCCCGAACAGTACAGACGAAAACAAGTCAAACATCGCAGCAAAGGATATCCGGCAACTTTTTGCCGACTCCGGCCACCATCGAAACAACTATGAGATCGTTCTATCCGACGCCGAGGCCTTCTCCGAAACCTCCGCAGTCATTGCAGTCAGTCACTCACCAAGTTACCCAACACATTCACGTGCCGCAGCTCAAACCTCATCAGATTACCATAAATCTGCCGCCACCAGATATCCAGAGAATCGTTCAGAACCCTTCGCCTCTGCTGCCTTCGCAGTCCCGGGTGATTGTCACAGCGAAGGCGAGCGTGAGTGACGAATCTGGTAGACCCCTGAACACTACGCAATTGGTGACATTGCCGTTGCCGACTATACCGGCCAGCTATGACGATTACAAGGAGGGTGATGAGTCCTTCGATCCCTTTTATCGCGACGTTCCGAAAATTCGCAAAAATCGCCAGAACGCGATGGAGAACATAAGATTCTTGCGTGCGAAACGATCGCTTGAGCAACCCTATAACTTTGTTTACGAAGTGAACAGTCATCAGGATTTCAAGGTAATACGAAAAAGTGAACCGCGTAAGAATGAAGATAATGCGATAAATAAAGAAAGTACGCATGTCCAGGTCAATCTCGAAGATTTTCGATCTCTTAAAGAAAGTCTGATAAAATTTAGGGACATCTTATTTAGCGACAATGTGAATGAAGATTCCTCTCACAGTGATGCTGAAGAAAATAGAAATAATACCGAACGTATTGGAATAAACAGCAAGACTTTTGATACAATATCTGTAAAGCAGGTGCAAGACAATGCGATAAAAAAAGTAGACTATCTAGAAGACTTGAAGACAGAAGCCTCTAAACACTTCAATTTAAATAAAAATACGGACGAGGAAGAAGAAGATGAGAAAGCGAGTCATGAAGATTCGACTCCAAATGTTAAAATTAAATCTGAAAAATCGCTTGATGAGAAGAAACACATTAAGGATACGTCGGAACTTGAAATTTACATCGAATCTACGACTGCTCATTCTCGAAAAAATGAATCTCAAGGAGACGTTATAGATTTAATAATACTCGATTCTAACAATAACTCCAAAGTGAAAGCCACGTCCGCCAAGACTGACGCACCTATCGAGATTATCATCGAAGAAACGAAATCTGACACGTACAACGCATCAAAGATTGACGGGAAAGTTGCACACGAAGGACAAATCGCAGGATCCTTGATAAAAGATGACCCGGAGAAGCGATCGAACTCCGTCGCCGGCGAGAGAAGACAACTGACAATTCCGCATAAAACAATCAAACGAAATGGTGCCAAAGATGGAGAACGAAAGTCTGGTCCGAGAAGGAAAAGTTCTCGACCGAGATCGTCGAAAAGACGTATATCTTCGAGGATAAGGCAGCAAAGAATGGAAAACATTGAACCGACAGAGACAATTCAGCAAAAGGAAAGAACGACTACTGCTACTACTGTTATTGATACTACTACTGTTACTTCTACTTCTACTACTACAACTACTTCTACTACTACCGTGACCCCATCCATTACAGCTTTTGAGAAGAAAGTTGCGGAGCAGATTGATAGTAACATTTTCGGGGACTCAGAATCACAAACTTTTAAAGAGCTTGATACGAGGGCGATTGGTCACCGAGACGCGATATACTCGAAGAGCTTGCAGGACGGTAAAAGTTACGATTCAAGTAGGAGTAAGGACATAGAGCGATCGTTTGATCGGCAGATTGTGGAAGAGCATACGAGGAGTTCGGAACTACGTGCTGATCAAATAGAGGAGGAAAAACGGGAAACAGAATTGCCGGATTATACGCAGACTACCGAAGGAAAAGATACGACCGAAAATCCGAGTAATGCAAACGAAGCGAGATCGACGGAAGTTGCACAAGTCTCTGAAGAGAAGTCTTCCATCGAAGAGGAAGACTCTTACAGGGAGTACGAATTTCCGGATGATGATGAAGCTGATACGAATGAAGGAGAACTCGAAGAGAACTCGCAG